TACAACAAACAATATCAAACAGAACAATAATCATAATTGCTTCCACTTATTTTCTGAAGCATGTGTATTCTTCTCACTTGAAGTCACAAAAGCAATTACCCAACTCACTTCAAGAAACCATATACATGTCAACATTCCAAACCATTTCCGCATTTCCCAATTTTCTTATTCTTCCTTGAGGCATGGTAACTTCAGTTGCATCTATCAGGAACATAACCATATATGGCCACTAACAAATGAGAAATAGAACCTCAACCATCTTTTAGCAATAGAGTAGTATATAAGGCATGACCATCAAGCATACACACACCACATGGCATAATATCTAAGTACCTTCACTGTCATTCCGTTCTTGGCCCTTGTCACTAAAATCATGAATCCCATTTAACACTGAAATGAAGAACTCATGGGCATCCTTCTCCCCAAAACTGGCGAGACTTGGTGTATGCCGCCACCAGCTTCAAGAACAACAGAGGTTTCATCACTAACGCAGGTTATCCGTCTTTAAACATTTTGCAACAAACTAAAAATGGAGGGAATAACAAGCTCTGGTGCCACATAAATTCACACTAGAAATAGTTTGATCTGCATGATGTTTATTCTACTAAGAAGCTTAAAATCAAATACAGGACCAAGAAATGTGGCAGGGCTTAGTGTTGATAGAAGTTGAAGATAAATGACAGACCTTGGTTACACCCTCCTAAGAACAAACAAAGGCACAAACATATTTACATAATTCAAATCAATTTGCCAAAATCATCATATCAAGATCGTGCCAAAATCATCATATCAAGATCGTGCCAAAATCATCATATCAAGATCGATAACTATCAAATTATGCAATAACCAGGGCACACCTGTAAAGCATCCGAGCTGGGCTATAAGGGGTATGATCGGTGGAATGCATTGCGTGAAAAACAGTACCAATTTCACAAAGCAAACATGGGTTTTTCCCAGATTTGTTCCGGTATTTATCATGATTATGCCGATCAATCAAGAAATTACTCAAAGGGGGTGCACGAAGCAAAGCTTGCAACACAGAATTCATGAAACAAGTAAAACCAAGATTGTTCAATCCCCTCAATCCAGAAGGGTAACACGATTTTTCCTTATGATCTCCCAAGGACATCATCGTTCTTGCCTTCTTCGGATCATCTTCGATCCCCGGATCCAACTTCAACTTTCTCCTCTTGCTCGTCCTCTCCTCAACACCCTCAAAACCGCCATTTTTATCCTCAGGCAAGTCCCTAACTCGTTCAGAGACAACAATTCCATCAAATTCAGAATCATAGACCTGATCGCCACACGAACAACAATACAGCTCCGCTCTTTCAACGTCCACCGCTATATCATGACGATCCCCAGACTGAGTATGCAAACCCAAATGGTTTAAACAAGATACCGCAGAACAAATCAAGCACATATAAAGTCTACCTCGATACCCATTACAAGAACTGCATCTTGGCACCTCGATACCCTCAATCCTAGCTCTGCCATTTAGGCCAGCTTTGATGAACTCATGCAAATTTTCGAAGGGAGTGGTGCCATATCTGAGCTTGTAATCTGACAAGTGCTTGCAGGGTTTTGGGTTTGAATACAAAGAAGTTCTCGCACGCATGTTGAAAGAGATTGAATGAGGGTTCGATTTGGGAGGTAGAGTTAATCAAGAAGAACGTCTTTGGGTTTCAAGAAAAAGGAAGGATTAGCAGAAAGATTGAAGATTGGTTCTGGACTAATTCAGGACTTTGGAGAAGAAAATGGATGTTGGTATCGTGATTTGATCCCAGAGCAGATAGATGGAAATGAGTTGCAGAAGACGAAATTTGATCTAGAGAGGCAAAACTGGCGCAAAGCTTTATGTTTGGGTCTCTGCTAAGAAATTCTAAATTCTAACTTTCGAGATTAATAGTTTATGGACTTCTTATTAGGCTCTAATCGCACATATACATAAAATATGGCCCCAAAACCATACCGAATGGATCCTAAGAAGTTGGACCCAAACTTTTTTGTTGTAATAAATAAAAGTTTTTTATTGGGCTTCTATCAAAATAATTTTATTGGGCTAATAATACCTAACCTAAAGTCGAACGATAAGGTGAAGGCCCAAGACCAAGCAGGTAGGCACAAACTCCTTGAGGGATACCCGTTTGATTTGATGTAGAGTCGAACCGAAAGGTGTCCGAGGCATGTCCTGTTTCATAAGGTGAAAACGGCATTTTAGTCTTTTAACCTTTATTGTTTCAACTTTTTATTTAAACCAAAATAATTTTTAATTTTTTTAATAAATTATCAAGTCTAATCCTATCATAATGGTATTGGTCACTTTTGCTAAATTTTAACAAAAATCTTAATTAGAATTTTGTATGATTTATGAGAACCCTTAAAATAATTTTTTTTAAAAAAACCTGAGAAATCCTAAATCTATAAGATTTATTATTATTATTATTTGGTCAACTCCAACTCTATGTTTCATTTTTTTTCTCTAATTAATATAGTCTCTCTTTTAGGAAAATGTCCTAAAAGTTATAAAGGTTAAATTTAAAAAATTTATATTATTTTAATTTGAATTTCTATTGGACAGTTAAAAGAAGTAATTAACAGTTTAATTAGGCTTAATAATTTTTAAAAATATGAATAAAAAGAGTAAGATAATATCCTTATATTTATATTAAAAGTTAGGGATTAAGTTTGGTGTTTTCCCTATTTTATTTGATCGACATTTTCATTAACACCAGAAATAAA